AATGGGAAAGTCAGAGGAAGCAGGGTAACAAGGTGGAAGCCGGCTCCAGCCAGGGCGGCCGCCGCAGTCTCAACCTCACAGCAGCAGTCACCAGCCCAGCGTCCCAAGGTCGCGTCTGTCCACACCCTGTGGGGAAAGCAAGGGATCCGTGGCGCCCGGCCCGTATCTAGGACTCACACGCAGCTAAAAGTTGATGGGGGAAGAGAGAGATTGTCCACAGTGGAGTAGCTATAAGGTACATACACTCTGTAAATAAATTCCCACTTGTGCTCCTGCAAACAGCCCTAAGGAAACTCACAGGACCACCAGAACAAACCAACAGAGACATGGAAGCAGAAGGGGACCAGGTGGAAAAAGGAGTAACAGGTGACTATGCCTGGTTACACCATGCACATGGATAAACTGTCATAATGAAATCCATATAATTAATATACTAATAATGCTAATTAAAACAGTCCCTACACTTTGGAGGTGATGTCACGAGGATCAGATAGGTTCAAGGCCAATCTCAGGAACACAGAGAATTTCTGGCCAGCCTGTAATACATGAGAACCTATCAAGTAGAAATTTCTTTTTTAAAAGAAAAAGAAACTTGTGTAAGATTTAAGCAATTTTCTAATTTTTAATTTTTCTTGTTGAACTATTTGAAAGTTGAGACATCATGACAGTTCACATTTAAATATTCCAGCACTTATCCATCTATTACATATCTGAATCTTCCCTTCGCAGTATCAACATCTATTCAAAGACAGTGTGTAGTTCACACTGAAACTCAGGTAGCAACGATGGGAACTTTCCATTAGTTCACTGGTGTCTCACAGTCAGTTAAAACAACTGCTCTTGAACTTCCTGGAAATACCTGTTTTCTTCCACACGGTACACATAGCTTCCAGGAACCAAGCTTGATGCTCTTTCCAGTTAGAAGGATTTCATGTTAATGTACTTTTAACTTCTATTCTTTGTATATTATTATTTCTCACTAGGAGGCTCAGGCCATTTCCTCCATCTTTCCATCGAGGGGAGCCCTAGCATGTACTGTGAGGGTGGATAGTCTCGACAGTTCTCTCAGGGACACTTGACAGGAACTTTTGGTGCAGAAATTCTGTTTTAGCCCTGAGATTTCCATTAAACTTTTTAATGTTATCCCTGTTTATTTTCCATTTGGTTTTCTAGTTTAAGCACTAAGCTAAATATAAATGACCTTCCCACACTGTCTCTCTGATCTTTTTCCTCCATCATATTTCAGTGTTATTTTCCTGACTCTCTTTTATTTCTATTCTTTATTTCTTTCACTGAACTTCTGGTAATGCATTCCTCCATGGTGCCTTGTAATTTAGTTTTTGCTCTGAGTTGATTTTGTCTTTCTGTCAGTTTCTTTCCTGAGTTCAGTCAGGTTCTACTTCAGACATTCCTGTTGTTTACCTCCTTCAGTCATAACTTTCTAACTGACTGGCCCAGGGTGTTCTTTCATAAGACAGATGCTTGTTTAATAAATTGCTCATATTCTAGGGTTGCTGTCTGGCCTTCCTATGCCTTTTTGTATCTTTTTATACTCCCCTGTCTGTGTGTATGTGTGTGTGTGTGTATTCATGTATGTGCAACTGTGTATATGTGATGAGTGCATATGTGTAAAGCCCTCATTCCTCAGGACCTGTCCAGCTTGGTGTGGGAGACAGCCTCTCCCTGTTTTGATTGTGTCTTGCTGAAGACTCAGTCTGGCTGGCCAGTGAACCCCAGAGGTCCACCTGTGTCCACCTCACCAGTGCTGGGATTACAAGCAAGTGCCAGGCCAGGTGCTTTACAAGGGTCCTGGGGACTGAACTCAGATCCTTCTGCTTGCATAACTTTAGTGTCTAAGCCAACTCCTCAACCCTTCTTTCTATTTGTGCTTTCATTCACTGAAGCTGTCTACATATACAACAAAGCATATATAAATTATAAATAATTTAATAAGGTTTGATCTTAATTTTCTATTTTATTCTTATATTAACTTTGTACATTTATTGGGGTCTTTTTCTGTTGAGGATTATTTATATTGGCTTTCCAGAGATTAGTAATGGCCATTTTTGTGGGGTTGAACAGTAGAGGAGATAAACTAGCTTACAAGGGAACGTTCTCAGATCAAGAGCGCCCTCTTCTGTAGCTACAATGAGCTGCAGTTTATTTAATAAACTCAAATGTATCTGGGGTGGGACACAGCGGTATTTTTAAATAATCCCTTGCTTTCATAAAAACCCTCCGTATTTTCATCTGCTTTCTTCTTCTTCTCCACATTTAATTCTTCAAGGGCACCATGTCCCCAATCTCCTCCTCATGATGTCTTCTGTTCTCACAGAATCATCGCTTTCCTAAGAGTGGCACATGATGTCACCCAAACTCTCTAATGAACCCCTCTCCCCAAAAGAGTTAATTTTCCTCTTACAAATCATGTAAGCTCTCTTCCTTAAAGTCATTCCTTTTATTTAACATTTTGAGAGTTCTCCTCTCCTGAGGTTCTCTCTTCCATCTTCTCTCTCCAAGACCCTTCGTTAAGAGCACCTAGTGACATGATTTCAGGAGCAATTTCTGCACAGGGAGCCCATGCAGTTCTTACTTACATGACTACATCCTAGACAATGATGTTGCATAGATATAAGTCAAGTCTGTTTACTGTGAAAGGATTTTGAATCCCACACAGCAATGCCACAATCTGTGATGAAAATGACTGAAATACTGCCCAGACCCTCTACATAGATAAGAAAAAAAGAGCAGGCATGTGAGGTGCCCACAGAACCAATTTATAACCCCCTTTTTTTGCGGGGGGGGGGGGTCCTTGTCTTCTCTTTCTTTCCTAGATGCCCAGTGACCTCAAAAATCTTCCTTACAATGCTAGCCAAGCACTTCTAAAACAATACTCTAAAATTATTTACAGTTCCTGTACATAAGGTCATCTCTAATTTAAAAACAGTATATTGCCCTCCATAATGCCATGCTGAAATCAGATTGTTCATGTATAAAATGACATAGCTCATTGGGGACTAAAGGCTAAAGCATTCTTCTAAGAATTGAAAATAACTATAAGAACAGGAAGGAAGAGATGTTGTTCTCTGCTAGATACTAAATATAAAATCAATAAATAATTCAAAACACATTATCTAGAGTAACACAAGGATATTAGGATCCTTGTGTTATAAACAGATCCAAACCCAACATTCGGTATAAGCCCTAGAAGACAGCTCAAAACAATTACTTGAAACTAAAATGTATACTACAGAAAGCAAATTAGTTTTTTATATATAGTAAATTAATTGAATTGCATATGAAACATATTTTAAAGGCATAAAAAATTTCCATCCTTTAACTCTATTTTTCACATGCTCAAGTAGTCACAAATGGCCAGGAAACATTTTTAAAGTACGAAACATCCTTAGCACCTTGAGGGAAATGCAGATTAAAACCATTTTAAGAATCCATCTCACAACAGTCAGAATGGCCATTATCAGGAATTCAAGAGACAAAAATGCTGACATGAATGTGGCGAATAAGGAACTCTTCAATATTGTTGGTGGGTGTGTAAACTACAGCAGCCATTTGTAAATGTCTGAAGGCTGCCTCCCCCCCCCCAAAAAAAAAAAAAAAAAAAAAAAAAAAAAACAGAAATAGAACCATGGCCCTCTCCTACTATAAGACCCTTGCACATCTCTCTCCATTGTCCAAGAC